GCAAGGGTTAGGAGCAAGATAAACAATGAGCACACGCGGCAAGACAACGATGGGCTATGGGTTAAACTACTAGAAATCGAAAATGCAGCGGGTCTACGAGCGGCGTGTGGCCGAGACTACATCAGATGGGCATCCAGTGCCGCGAGGATACCAGGCATGGTCCTCCACAGCTGTTGGACCACTAACGCGGTCGCGCCGACTGCTTCAATCCCGCCTCCCCCACGGAGGTGTCCTGTCAGACCCTGGACCGTCTCGTCCAGCTGTGAGACCGCAACGCCTCCCATCGCGGGCGCTGCCTGCACGGGCAGGAGGAGGAAGGCAAGCTGCGCAGCCGCAGCCAAGCAATCAGCTCGCGCACGGTGATCAAGAGTGCTCCCTGGGCTCCGGAGAATGGCAAAATGTGAGTTCACCAGAATCAGTGTCAGGGCCTGCTGACACTCCACCAAGCGCCACAGCTGCGCGAGAGTCGCCGTGGGAACTTGGGCCAGTCCGGTCGTCAGAACTGCAGCCGGAACAGGAAGAGGGGGCGGAGGCTGCGCCGATGGAGCATCAGCAACACGTCGCGGAGGGACGAAGGCCCCCCTCGCCCCTCCGCCTCCCGCTCCCACAAATCCCGTGTCCGGAAGAGGGGGAATCCAGGGCAGAGGGGGATATTGCGCGGCAGAAACAGGACGCGAGGGGCCAGGCGGGGCACGATCACCAACAGGAGCATGAACCTGCGGGAACGCCGGGGCGTTCGGCGCATGTTCAGCGCGGGATGCCGCCGGAAGCTGCGCATGCACAGGAGCAGGAGCGGGCGCAGGGGCGGAGGGAGCCAGCGAGCTTCCAAGATTCGGCGCACCAGTCAGTGCATTGCGCATCGCCGCAGCTAGCATCCCCGGGAAATCCTCGCGCAGCTGCTGCATCTCGCTTGGCCCACCGCGCCCGCGATCGTGACCTCCCCACCAGCCACCGCGGCCTCCGCGGTGCGCCGACCGATACGACGAGGAGGGGCGACGCCGAGGAGAACCTCGCCCCCGATGCGCTGCCGCATGGCCACCCGCGGCACCGCGAATCTGTGACTCCGCAAGCCGCTGCGCGACGGGCTGTACCGGCGCAGCCGCGGGAGCAACCAGGTGGGCAGAGTCGGGGCCGGCGCCCACTGCTGTCCCCTGCGCAGGGCCCCCGACGACAGCTTGGACAGGCGGCGGCGCCACAAGCGTCGGCTGCGCAACGGGAACCGCCGCGCCTGACGCGGGAACACCGTGCGGAAGGCTCGGCGATGGTGCCGGCGCCAGCGGGACAGGCATTGAGGACGTCGCAACAGCAGCAGGGGGAGCCGGGGAGGCAAATGGAGCAGCAGCAACAGCCGCAACAGGGGCCGGAGGCAGAGCAATCGCGCTTTCAGCGGTGTGACCTTGGTCCACCGCCGACTTCTCCGCTTCAGTCGCCATCACGGCGAACGCGTCGGCAGCAGGCGATCGAGGACGCACGGCTGCGTCAGAACGCGGGAGGAGTTCGTCGAGGGAGTCCTCCACTGGGCGCGGCCTTAGCGCGGACGCGGGGAGGCCGTGCCGGAGGTCGCGGGCGTGGTAGGAGTACACGTGAGGGCGGTCCGGAGAACGCGTTCCAGGCGGCTGCACGTAGGGCTTTAAACGAGTTAGGAACAGCTAATGAAGCAGACGTATTGTCGGGGAGTATTTATGAGGCGGAGGAGGAGGAAGCAGAATCAACTTCGAATGCCTCGGAGGAGGCCCAGTCACAAACTCCCGCTAGGCAGAGAGGCATCTCAACCCACGCCCGAAGCGCGGCAACAAATTTGAACAACACACCCACCCAGCCGCGACCCTCCCCACAAATTCGAACCGCTCCCAACATCCCTGCCACCACGGCCAACCAGCCCGCCCAACCAAACCTGACACCAACACCTGCAACTGCACGACGAACAGCAGCGAGGGGTAACCAACAGCAGTCACAGCTCCCCCCTCAGAAATCGCCCGAAGCCCTCGCCAAGGATGACATGCTTTTCGCATGCGTCAGTGCCTGGAATCTGGACAAGCTACGCGACAGTCGCAACGCACCTCTGGCACGTCGCCTTCCGGAAAAACTGCGCTTGCTTTTCGCAATGGTATTACTGACACCGCTGCTGCGACTCGCCGACGACCCTGATTCCATCCAAGCCTGGACGGTTTTACTGTTTGCCGCTCGCCTGACGCTGCGTCAGCAGTCGCCGAAGCAACCTGACTGGAAGGAGACCAGGAGCCGATTGCGTAAATTCCTGCGAGGGGAGTGGGATTCACTCTACCAGGAAACAGTGGATTCGCTGGATCTCCCTCCCCCCCCCAGGCACCAACCAGATGACCTGGGAGTTATCTCCAGAGCAGAGGGTCTCGCGCGACGTGGCAGTCTGCGGAGAGCTGTCATGGCGCTGGAAGCCACACCAGTCAGCAAGCCGTCGCCAGAAGTTCTGGAATCCCTCCGCGCCAAGCACCCAAGTGCCCAGCGCCCTGACGCACCCTGGCCCCAGCCCGAGCCGGACTCTCACCTGTCAGTGTCGCGGGAAGTTGTCTTGAAACTTCTCTCGAAATGTGAGAACGGGGTTGGGGCAGGTCCCTCAGGCACGACGTTCGAGCACCTGCGCGAAGCTGCCTTGTTGCACTCCACGGTCTGTTCTCACCTGCATGCGCTAGTCAACACGATCCTTCGCGGGAAGCTGAGCAAGGAAGTAGGGGGACTTCTTACCGCATCACGGCTGATTGCCCTCGACAAGCCAGACGGAGGAACCAGGCCAATAGCCATAGGCGAATGCATCCTCCGCCTAGCAGCCAAAGCAGCGCTTACGCAGCTAGCAGAAGCGGCCAGGGAATTTTTCTTACCTTCACAGTTTGGAGTGGCCGTGCCGGGAGGAGCTGAAGCAGTTATACACGTCGTTCGTACATTTACCTCGGCCAACCAGGACGCACTAGTCTTGCAAGCCGATCTAGCTAACGCTTTCAATAGCGTTGATCGCCATGCCATAGCAACAGCCCTGAAAGGCTCGCAGCTGGAACCGCTGCTGCCATTAGTGAACTTCTCCTACGGCCAGCCGTCCGCACTGCACCTGGAAGCAGCTTTTAATCACCCGCCTTTGCTCAGTGAAACGGGGGTCCGCCAGGGGGACCCCCTCGGCCCCCTCCTTTTTGCCGCGGCCATGCAACCGGCTCTGAAGGCAGCTGCGGAGGCACACCCGGAGGTCATCTGCCTGGCTTACGCGGATGACGTCACCTTCTTAGGGGACCCGTCGTCATGCGCGGCTGCTTTCAATCACTTCACAAGCCTCCTTGCAGAAATCGGGCTCAAACACAACCCCGCCAAGTGCGGGGCTTGGTCCAATAGGTCGCCCACGGATTACCACCTGCCCGAGGGAGTTCCACCCAGCAGCGACGGGCTGAAAGTGCTGGGCAGCTACATCGGCACCCCAACGGCCACTTCCGCCTTCATACGATCCAGCCTGGAGGCGATGGGTACGCCGCTTGGATTGATTGAGCGGATGGAGCCTCAGCTGGCGGGACTGCTGCTGTCTCGGTGCGTCTCGCGCCGAGTGTCCTACTTGGCCCGCACGACTCCCCTTCCGTCCCTGCCCAAGGAGGAGTGGTCCGAATGGGGGAGGCGACTGCTGGATACTCTGCTCACGGCATGCGGCATTAATCACCCGCGGGGGGACGAGGAAATTTCACGCACATGGGCGCAGGCCTCTCTCCCCGTATCGCTCGGTGGCGTTGGGCTGACAGACCCGTCCGTGGAGGGAAGCTACAGCTTCCTCGCCAGTTACACGCAGGCTCAGCTCCTGCTGGACTCCCTTGAGGACGAGTGCACCGGCCCACTGGAGGTCACACGCGAGCTGATGCGGGGCCCCTACACTCAGGCCTCCCCCTTGACCGAATGGCTAGCGGAATGCGAGGGGGAGCTTCCACTGCCGGCCCAGGAAGCCTTGCAAGCAGAGAGAGCAGCCCCAACCGCAGGAAAGCTGCAGCATGGGCTGGCCACGGCTATCCAGGGCCAGCGCTATGCTGTCCAAGTGGAGGAGGTGAGGGGGATGAGCCCGAACCCGAACAATGGTCACACGCAGCGGATGATGTCCCTGTCGGGGTACGGGGCGGGAGATTGGTTAAACGCGGTGCCCCTCCACCGCGCGCTACACCTCGAGGCTCCGCATTACGCCAACGCGCTCCAGTTTCGGCTGGGGCTCCCCTTCGCAGCTCCCGGGGTTTGCAACTGCTCAAAGAAGGTGGAAATCCCAGATAAGCGGCTCCCGAACCACCTGCTACGATGTGGGACAGGGGGGGGGCGCACAAACACACACAATGAACTCAGAGACGAATGCGCGCGAATGGCGCGCGATGCCGGCTTCATGGTGCACATTGAAACGGCCGCCTTCAGCCCAGTGGAGGAGAAGAAGGCGGATCTGGCCCTCCGCTGCCGCTCAACAGGTGCCGTCTACATCTGTGATGTGACGGTGACTGACCCCATCAGCACCCGCGATGAGAATGCAACTAAGGGGCGGGGGTGGGCGGCACGGGAAGCGGCAGACAAGAAGCACGGGCTTTACAAGGACCGGCCAGAGTGGGTGAAGTTCTTCCTGCTCGCGGTTGAGACCTATGGGTGTCCATGCCCTGAGACAGTGGACTTCCTGAAGCTGCTCGCGGAAACGGCTGCAAGGCGGTTTTTTAACGCCGAGCCAACCTCCTACCAAGCTGCCAAGCTCTTACACCAATACCGGCAGCGGTGGTCAGTGGCTCTTCAAAGGGGGCAGTCGATTGGCTATCTAGAAAAGTGCAGCATAGCGGCGGCAGTAGAAAACCCGCTGCTAGAGACAGTGGGTGAGGCCCCGTCCCTAGGGGACTGCCCCTCGGTCCTTGATCCTGCACTGGACCTAGGTTAGGGTGGGGAGGGGTGAGCTGTTGAGTGGGTAGTTAGAGGACAATGCATTATACCTACGTGCCGAAAGCTTTCACCTTGCATGTCTGTACACCTTGTGTCAATCAATGAAAGGGCCATTCGGGGGGTGCAAAGTGGGAGAAAAGAGGGGGAACGGGAGGGAATTGCAAGCGAGGAAAGGAGGTGTGGAGTGTGAGGCGAGGCGGTGTGATGGACGGACCAGCGTATTTGAAGAAGAAGGAGGAGAGGATGCCCTGCATGGCGTTGTTGGCAATCAGCACTGCCGTGGCGCGTGAGTGCCCGTGCAGGATGTTGAGTGATGCCATATCCCCGCCTGCCACCATAGAATGAGTGGGATGGTTTGTGGCATTGGCAAGGAAGGGAGAAAGGGGGTGCGATGATTACTGCCGTGGCACGTGAGTGACCGTGCAGGATGTTGAGCGATGCCGTGTCCCCGCCTGCACTTGTAGTGATTGGGTGGTAATATGAGTTGAATGGAGGGACGATGGAATGGTGGCATGGACAAGGAAAAGAGGAAGGGGGTGAGACGAGCACTGCCGTGGCCCGTGAGTGACCATGCAGGATGTTGAGCGACGCCATGTCCCCGCCTGCACCCATAGTGGAAGGGTGGTGGGATATGGTGGGTGGGATGATGATGGATGGAGTGGTGGGACAAATGGGAGGCTTGCGGTATGGTTATTGCCGAGAGTGTAATCTTCATCCTCAGGCATGAGGCATGACGCATGAGGCATGAGGCTATGCGTGTGACAAACAGACAACGCACCTCGAGCGACGAAGACCCCCAGGAGGAAGATGAGGTTGAAGAGAAGGCCCCAGCAATACATGAAGAAGTTCTGCGAGGGGGAGGAGGGGAGTGGAGGGGAGTGGAGGGGAGTGGAGGGGAGGGGAATGGAGGGGAGTGGAGAGGAGGGGAGGGGAGGGGAGGGGAGAGTGATTGGAGGTCGGGGAGAGGGCGGAGAAGCAAAGGCTACGTGAGGGGGAATGACTGGTTGCAAGGTTAATTACTAGAAATCAGGAAATGTCTGGATGCATTAACAGGAGGAGGGGACTATGTGATGGGAGGATGCACGGGAATGTGGATGGGTGGGAATGAGGTGGAGAGCGGTGGAGAGAGTTGGGAAGGGTTGGAGAGAGGTGGTAGAGGGTGCACCTGCAGGTGGACGCTGGTGTCGAACTGACTCTTCAATGCATACTCGTTGTACACTGATGCAGTTGAAGGTATTGTGAGCTGATATCACAGAGGAGGGAAGCAGGTTTTCTCTCATCAGATTGAGCATGCAGAGAGCACAGAGCAGTGTGTGTCGATGAGTCAAAACCCCACAACTTGGTGTGATGCTATGCGGATTTACAAACGAGGAGGAGGAAAGACGGATGCAGGCCTTTCACTTTACAAGCCAAGGACACTCGCGACATACATTCGAACACTGAAACAAGAGCACGTACAAAGAAGAATGTGTAGACCCATGCCAGTGGGGAGACATCGAGCATGGCAGCAGCGGCAGCATTGCCACCACACGGTATTTGGTTGATGCTGATTCCTATGAGCAGCAGCACGAGTGCTTCACACTGCAGCAGGAGAGGGGGGAGAAAGTAGGAAGGGCGCCGGAAGAAGAAGGGAGTGCATTTAGATGTGCCTTAGGAGTGGCGGGTTGGATGCAAGGGGCGCACGCACGGTACTAGGTTTATGATGATGCCTATGAGCAGCACGAGTGCCTCGCATTGCAGCAGGAAGGGACAAAGAAGGGGGGCCCGAGCGGGGAGGAG